ATGTGCGTTCTTTCTTTGTGAGGTGAAGGCAAAGTGCAGGCGGCTCACGCCAATGGCATTTTGTTTCTTGCCGCTGGCCGCTGCACTTCGTGTCCAACACGAGGTTGAATTTTCCCAGTTAGGGAATGTCTTTTCCTAATCTGCATTATGCCGCTTTACACCGCATGGTATATTGGGGGCCCATAAATACCCATGTCCCAATCAATCCCCTTTGTTCCTTTCTCATTCCCCTCTTTGTGCTTAGTATTTTGTATGAAATGTACTCTTTTGCTTAAATGATCTGGCAGGTAATGAAGGTCTTATAAATAAATTGCTGAGTTTGGAAGACCGATGATAGGATGGTACCTAGTAAAGAAGAGGTTCTCTTTGGAGCATGTGCTTGCACATTTGTGACGTATGCGTTTCGAGAAGTAGCCTGTTATGATCAATACAACATGCGTGTGAGAAAAAATCAGCACGGGAGGGGAAGGACACGTCAGCGGTTCAGGGGTCTTCAGGGCATTCAGGTGAATAGGGTGAATGGACTGAAGAGTAGGGCGGCAGGAGGGGATTTCCTAACGAATCAAAAAGACCACGAAAAAAACATACAACAGTGAGGATTCGCTGGTGGTCACCCACCCAACTACTAACTCACCGGCGTGTGGCTTAAGTACGGCTGAGCGGACGGGAAGCCCTGTTTTCCACACCCTGTGGTCGTATGTACTATCTTTTGCAGAAATGAGATTCTCAACCTACAATGACAAATCTGAAATCACCACTTGTGCACAAGGTGCTCAGTGACCTTTAGATCAGGTTTATATCGTTTCCCAGGGGCCCAGGGGAAACTACGACTGGTGGTACAACGGTTTTTTCCGTAATAAGATACTGATTAAGGATTTGAGAGACTAGAAAATGCAAGTGAAACGAAGATTCCCTGCTAATCCAAGCCATAGTTGAAAGAAAGATCTAAACAGACTTACTTGGGACAGTCAGTTTAGGAGCTCCGGATATCGCTGCGAGTTATGTCGGTCTATAAATAGGTAACGTAATTCCCAAGCGAGCTGGACACCCCACTCAAAACGCGTCCATGAATTAGCACTTAATTGATTCAACCATCCACCATGCCACCAATACGCTCTGGTAGCTCTAAAACCCCAACAGAGCAAGAGGGTAGGATCTTGTTAGCTATACAAGCTATAAAAAAACAAGAGATTACCTCTATTCGGAAAGCAGCACGGGTATTCAAAGTGCCAAATTCAACCCTTTCTACGCGTCTTCTTGGCATTCAAAATCGCGCAAATTCTCATAAAAAAGTGAGATTGAAGAGGAATCACTTGAAAAATGGATATTCTCTATGGACGCTCGTGGTTCAGCTCCACGACCTTCAATGGTGCAAGAACGAATGTTCTACGTTCGCATCGCGGAATCAACCCATCATCTGCAGTCGGCAAAAATTGGGTCACTAATTACATTAAACGACATCCCAATCTATCTTCGAGATTCTCCAGACGTTACAATTACGAACGTGCTAAATGTGAAGATCCAAAAATTATTGGTGAATGGTTTACACTTGTTCAAAAAATGATTCTTCAATACGGCATTGACAACGATGACATTTATAACATCGATAAGACTAGTTTTGCAATAGCATTAACCGTAACTGCTAAAGTTATTACGAGATCTGAATACTACGGTCGGCGATCACTTTTACAACCTGGAAATCGCGAATGGGTGACTGCAATTGAATGTACAAATACTTCAGGTTGGGCACTACCTCCATGCATTATTTTCAAAGGCAAAGTATTCATTGAATCTTGGTTCGACAATCTTCCAAATGATTGGCGCTTTGAAGTCAGTCCTAATGGATGGACCTCTGATGAAATTGGCCTTCGATGGCTTGAAGAACTATTCATTCCATCGACTTATTCACGGACAAAAGGTCAATATCGACTTTCTAGTCGAGGTAGTGAATGGGAGCCAAAAACACCAACAAATCACATTCAATTATTGAAACAAGCATCCTCAATCAAAGCATTACTTCGTCAAAGATCCCGAAGCCCGCCAAGTCCACTCAATTTAGCGATAAACCAGGTTTTGAAAGCTTGCCATATGACGATGCAATCAGCAGCGATTCTTGAGAAAGAAGTTCACGATCTACGATCGGAAAACGAGAAAAAGAAGCAGAAAAAAACTCGATCTCGAAAGCAGATACCTGCTACAGAGGGCTTATCAGTTCAGGAAGCTACTGCTTTAATTGTGCAACCAGACGAAGTGATTGAACCTCCCCGCCCCCAGGTCCGCGCGCACAGGGAAGCACCTTTATTACCAATAACAAGGGCATTACCGAAATGCGGTGCATGTGGAAATCAGGGCCATAGAAGAGATGCATGTCCAGATAGACCTAGAATTTAGCTGATTGAATTTGATGGAGTTTTGGTTGAAATAAATGCGTTTAA